GCACTGGTGGTGACCTTTACGCACGGAGGTCACGGTGTCACTGACGTGGCGGTGTGTCGCGTGGATGGCGCAGCGCCGCTGGTGAGTTGTGTCGCAGCCACGGCACGCGTTGGTTGGGAGTGGGAAGTCTGCGACATGAACATCAGGTCGGCTATGGGAGCCTCCAACGTGGCCACCCACCGGGTCTAGGGGACATCTCAAGTGAGGGTCGTCACCAGAGGCGGAGCTAGGATATTTTGCGCCCGGGGACGAACTATAAAATTGGCGCCCCCCCCCCCCCCCCCCCCCCCGTTTAATCACATTTTCCTATTACATCGAATAAGGAATAACAATTTAAATTTTAATGAAACATTGTTTTTAAAGAAGCAAATTTATAGAAATTATATTACATGGCTCACTCAGTCACTGTCGTAGACTGGTTGACATAGTCTACAAAAGATGAATTTTTCTTGATTTCACTGTCGCAAACTGGTCAATCACGTAATCAAAATCAGTTTTTTCCAATGTTTCTCTTTCAACGCTAAGAAGAGCAAGATCGCTGAGACGATCTTGTCCCATTGAAGCAGGCAAATACGACAACATAAGTTTCAATTTGCTGAACGACCGCTCACAGCTTGCAATTGAAACTGCTATTGTTAATCAAATTTGCAGTGAAATTCGCAAATTCGGAAATATGTCGTCTCCATAAAACACAATAAAACCAAGAAGATCCAAAGGAGTTTCTGGTAGAACTTCATTCCGGTTACTGAGCAGCATTTTGCAATCTCCAATTTCTGTGAAAAGTTCGTGGCCATTGACGTCGGTGTCATAGAAATTTCCAAAATCTGTGCAATTTCGACGAATTGCATCGACATCTGTGTCGGATATAAAGAGTTTTGACATCCAGCAGAAATCAAAATTTTGTGTTCAGGTTTTTTAGTCGTAAAAATCGTGTTGACATCTCCTGTTGAAGTCGATAAAATACGCTCTTCATAACGCGCACAATTTCTTCTTCTGCTGAAAGTCCTGCATCTCTTGCCAGTTCTCCTGGCATCTTCCGACGTCGCCTAATTCTTCTGTCCACATCGATCCCCCAGGCTGTGCATCTTGTTTTGGCGTTTTCTACAGCAACTTGGCTCAAATCATCACGAAGCTTGACAAATTCATGCTCCAAAGATTCAAGATCAGTTGCTGCTTCCTTGAAATTCATAGTAGGATCCTGTAAGCGCTTCTGAACACGATCAATTTTTCCAGAAATGTAATAAAACTATGAAGTAAAAATTTAAAACGCATGCCTGTAACTGTTCTGCATCACTTCTGGTTTCAGGCGTCATAGTTACGTCCTCCGATAGTTTGTCTAGCAACCCTACTAGTTCATCCAGTCCTTCATAGATAGCTTTAACAGCTTCTGATCGTGCACTCCAGCGTGTTTCAGGCCGTCGTAGTTTCCGCCACCAAAAAACAGGCCACTGACTAAGGCTGAAAGACTGCGCCTGTCTGTTGTTTGGAACGTTCTTCCATGTAAGTTCTTAATAGGCGCGCACATGTAGGCTGTGTGTGGCGGAATATATAAACTTTTAGGTTGAGGTGTAGATTTGTGCAGTAGTTTCAGGCTGCCGCGACCGCCGCAATAAGTTCTAATGTATCGTTGTCAGCCTCATTTTGGCGCCCCTTTACTTTGGCGCCCGGGGACACATGTACCCCCTGCCCCCCCTAGTTACGCCTCTGGTCGTCACTCGTGCGATGATTGGGGCACTTTGGTGGCGAGATGTTAACTACCTCCCCTGGTATGCAGGAGGCCGTGGGTTCGATTCCGACCCTGATGCCTGCTGTTAATTTGCAATTTGCATGTCTCTTTCTCTCTCCCCGTTGTCACGTGAATTTTTCTCCGGGTCCTACGGCTTTTCCCTCTACATTTCTAACACTGTGTAACAAAAAAAAAATCCTGGGTAGTGAGTGTTATTACCTAATTGCTTAGGCCTCAAAAGTACAGAAAATGCCGATTATTCTCCACAAACTTTGCTTTTGTGATTCAGGACAGTGATATTTTGAAATTTACCTATTTTCAATGAGAAAAGTGTGCATTTGTGTCATTCCTTAACATAAAGCCCTGGTCACAAAAGCAAAGTTTGTGGGGAATAATAGCCATTTTCTATACTTTTTAGGCATAAGCACTTAGTACCCAGGAACAAAAATTGTGTTACATAGTTTAATCAATGTGTGTTCGAAGTATTTTTCTGTACATTTCCACATGATAAGCCACTTCCTTGCGGCCAGGTCGCTTCTGGAAAAGATCTATATAGCCCAGTGAGCCTTACCTAATAAAATAAAAAATAGTTTAGTTTTAGTCTGTCCCCCTCCCTCCCCCCTCCCTGCCCCAGTGCTGACAGGGCAGGATCAACTCCCCTAAAGTGTATGGAGAAGATCTCACATCGCGTTGTAAACCATGAGACGTGGTGTACATACGAGTTGAGGATTATAGGTTCAGTACAGCAGGGGGAAAAACAACATTTAAGAGTATGCAATTATTGACGTAATATTACATGTTAAGTCATTAACACCTAACAAAAGGAAGCGACATGTGGTAAGTTAATAACGGATAGCAAAGCTTTGCATCATCCTCCAGTGCCATGTAGTGTACGAACTGGCAACGTTTTCTTCCAATTGCAATGGCACGCGGCAGGACACGGGGACCGGGACAGAGGCTGTGAGGGCCCCGCTGTTGGCCTGGGAGGCCCTCTCCACTTCGAGGCGTTGTAAAAGTCGCGGCTGCAATCTTGTGGTGTACAGCTGAGATGTGTAGATGAACATCTTCCAGATTAAACGTGTCGGCATTGTTCCGAGTTGGCACGTTGCGCTGGGACGGCCTTGTGTGTTTGTGTGGTGTGTGTGCTGTGCACCGGCTCGCTCGGAATGAACACCCCGTCAGTCTCGCCGGGCACTGGTGGCTCTACACGTGGTAGCCTGTAAGCTCGCGCTGTGGAGGAGGCGAGGGTTAGCGGAACACCTCATTGATGTGATGAAACTCTCTTCTCGTGGGCGTCGATGAGGTGCCATACTCTGGCTATCCAAAAGACGGCAGTACAGCAAGTGGACTAATGGCCATCTGTTTCCATCTGTACGGGGATAGAGTGTTGCCCCATCACGCGGGTGTGCTCCCCCTTCCTCCCAATTGGATAAGTAACTCTATATTGGCTAAAAACGTCTCGAAATGAAACCTCAATATAGCAGGACCATCCTACGACTCGATGTACAGTGAGGGAAAAAAGTATTTGATCCCCTGCTGATTTTGTACGTTTGCCCACTGACAAAGAAATGATCAGTCTATAATTTTAATGGTAGGTTTATTTGAACAGTGAGAGACAGAATAACAACAACAAAAATCCAGAAAAACGCATGTCAAAAATGTTATAAATTGATTTGCATTTGAATGAGGGAAATAAGTACTTGACCCCTCTGCAAAACATGACTTAGTACTTGGTGGCAAAACCTTTGTTGGCAATCATAGAGGTCAGACGTTTCTTGTAGTTGGTCACCAGGTTTGCGCACATCTCAGGAGGGATTTTGTCCCACTCCTCTTTGCAGATCTTCTCCAAGTCATTAAGGTTTCGAGGCTGACGTTTGTCAACTCGAACCTTCAGCTCCCTCCACAGATTTTCTATGGGATTAAGGTCTGGAGACTGGCTAGGCCACTCCAGGACCTTAATGTGCTTCTTCTTGAGCCACTCCTTTGTTGCCTTGGCCATGTGTTTTGGGTCATTGTCATGCTGGAATACCCATCCACGACCCATTTTCAATGCCCTGGCAGAGGGAAGGAGGTTCTCACCCAAGATTTGACGGTACATGGCCCCGTCCATCGTCCCTTTGATGCTGTGAAGTTGTCCTGTCCCCTTAGCAGAAGAACACCCCCAAAGCATAATGTTTCCACCTCCATGTTTGACGGTGGGGATGGTATTCTTGGGGTCATAGGCAGCATTCCTCCTCCTCCAAACACGGCGAGTTGAGTTGATGCCAAAGAGCTCCATTTTGGTCTCATCTGACCACAACACTTTCACCCAGTTGTCCTCTGAATCATTCAGATGTTCATTGGCAAGCTTCAGACGGGCATGTATATGTACTTTCCTGAGCAGGGGGACCTTGCGGGCGCTGCAGGATTTCAGTCCTTCACGGCGTAGTGTGTTACCAACTGTTTTCTTGGTGACTATGGTCCCAGCTGCCTTGAGATCATTGACAAGATCCTCCCGTGTAGTTCTGGGCTGATTCCTCACCGTTCTCATGATCATTGCAACTCCACGAGGTGAGATCTTGCATGGAGCCCCAGGCCGAGGGAGATTGACAGTTCTTTTGTGTTTATTCCATTTGCGAATAATCGCACCAACTGTTGTCACCTTATCGCCAAGCTGCTTGGCGATGGTCTTGTAGCCCATTCCAGCCTTGTGTAGGTCTACAATCTTGTCCCTGACATCCTTGGAGAGTTCTTTGGTCTTTGCCATGGTGGAGAGTTTGGAATCTGATTGATTGATTTCTTCTTTGAACAGGTGTCTTTTATACAGGTAACAAGCTGAGATTAGGAGCACTCCCTTTAAGACTAATCTCAGCTCGTTACCTGTATAAAAGACACCTAGGAGCCAGAAATCTTTATGATTGAGAGGGGGTCAAATACTTATTTCCCTCATTAAAACGCAAATCAATTTATAACATGTTTGACATGCGTTTTTCTGGATTTTGTTGTTGTTATTCTGTCTCTCACTGTTCAAATAAATCTACCATTAAAATTATAGACTGATAATTTCTTTGTCAGTGGGCAAACGTACAAAATCAGCAGGGGATCAAATAATTTTTTCCCTCACTGTAGCTTTCCTAATTCCTGGGTATGTAAATAATTAACTAATTGCTATAAATGTTCACGCGTGGCCGTCATCACATATGCATCAATGGACTGACCAGCGCCCAAGAGCATTCGGAGATGCCGTCTGCCCGGGCAATAATCTCGCGCTCCGCTGAGCCTAGAAGCGCTGCGGCTAAATATGAATGGGAGACACTTGATTGGCATTGCCTGTGCATTTTAGAATCCCTTGGAGCGATTTACGAAACGAAGACGACCCGGTGTATACCAGCAGCGGCTCAAAGATGCTGTTCAGCACACTGAGGCACAGGGTGATGTCTCTCAGGAGGGCGATGCTGTTGAGAGAGAAGGCGTTCGTCTTGCTCTCAATGAAGCCGATGACGTGCGTGCAGTTGTACGGCGTGAGACAGACGATGTAAATGATTAAGCTGACGACGGTCATCTTGGCAGCTCGGATTTTTTTGTTTCGACTCGTCGTGAGTTGCCGATGTCCGTTGAGAATGAGAATTTTTAGAACATTTCCGTACGAAAACAACGTTATAACCAGCGAGGTGTAATATAGTGAAAAAAACACGTAGAGTCTGTACGGGATCAGGAACTCCACATCCTTCTCCGTGAATTGTTCGTAGCATCTGATGGACGGAGCGCTGCCACTGCTGCTGTTGTTGCTGCTGCTGGTGGTGGTGACGTTGGCATAGCTGAGCACGGTGACGGTGCTGACGGGGATGATGCTGGAAATGCTGATGAGCCAGATGAGGAGGCACAGAAGCCACGCTGCTCTGGGCTCGCGCCACTGGGAGGCCACGAGAGGATGCACTATGGCCATGTACCGGTCCAGGCTGATGGCAGCCAAGAACATTGGCGTCGTATAGGCGTTTGTGAAGAAGACGACGATGTACATGCGGCACAGGAGGTCCTGCAGGGTCCAGTTGTTCATGCGGAAATGATAAACGATTTTCATTGGCAAACAGAGCAGAAAGGAGACGTCCGCGGCAGCGAGGTTGAGCATGTAGACAGACATGGAGTTCTTCTTACTCGTGCAAAGCACCCATATGGCGAGCGCGTTCAGCGGGAGGGCTATGATCACCACGATGGTGTAAATGATCGGGATAACGAGGAATTGAATCGTCTCACTGCCGCCCATTCTCCTGATATATCAGCAACAACAACAATCTCTGCTAGATCAACGACACGGTCCGGGCGCGGTGGCGCGAGTGCGCCGCACCCCAAGGAGCCGCTTGCGCTCACGCGGGGCTCGCGGTCACTCTGCCTCGCTCAGCCGCAGGAGCCCCGTGCCGGGGACGCGGTCCCATCCCCCGCGTGGAGCGACCAACGCGTGAGATGATGGCGCTGTCAGCATGGAGACACCTGGGGTCACACGCGCAAGGGGATGATCGCGCGGTGCAGGCATGAAGAGGGACATTCTGGAGTCTACACCTCGGCTTGCCCGACCAATATTCACGATTCCATTATTTATTTCTTATGGCTGTCATCTAAATATGTATGTTGGAGTTCTTTCGCACCGTACACAACCAACTGTTCTAATCGTCAAATCAAGTCATCAATTTGGATATTTGCCCACGTGGAAACTCAGACTTAGCCGAGTGGAGGCCCAGGCGAGTGGGCCTATTGCCACTGCCATCGAGGTTGCCCAAAAACCACTGCACACGCTCCGATTGCTCATTTGGCTTTGCAAAGCAAATATTTTACCGGCTCCTGCAAACGAGTTTTGGAAACTCATAATACGTCTCCAATAGATGCCTTTAACCGAAGTGATTTCCCTACTCATTTTCAGATCTAGTCTCGGCATAAAGGCAAACCCGACTGTGTTTGTATTCAGCAAACCAGCGCACTCACCGTCACAAGTCGCCCGCTCTCTCCCACGTTGTCCTCCCACCTGGTTGGAGAATATTTTGCTGTCTGGCTCGTGTCCACTATTTATATACGAATTCGGCGTAAGACCAACACGCATTGTTTTGTGATATTATATTTCCTGTTGTGGTATTATATTTCATTACTCTAAATAGGTAGAGAAGAGGCACCTGCTCGCAATGGGGCGAAGCGATTGTTGTGGCCGTGACTGGTTCCACGGCACGTTCAGACCGGCTGTGGTGTTTTGCCGCCAGCGCACTGCGCAACCGTCGGGGTCACACGCGGCGGCGGCGGCGCAGCCCGAGAGCGCATTCACTGACTTGCCGAAAGCTGAACTGGACTCGTTTGTTGCTGGCAACATGAAGTGTGACTGGCCCAAAGGAGTAAAACAAAGCAAATTATCGTCGAGGTGCATTTTAAATGAAATCTGTTTGTGGAATCATTCTACATGAATATTAAATAGTTTTTTTTTTAAACACGCATGCCCGCTCATAGAGAGGGGTCATCTCAGTGCGTCCCGAGACCCGAACATTCTCATGGCTCTGGAGCGTGGCGCCTGGAGGGTTACGAGGGTGGCACCTGGAGGGTGACGTCACGATGGTGGCACCTGGAGGGTGGCACCTGGAGGGTGACGTCACGAGGGTGGCACCTGGAGGGTGACGTCACGAGGGTGACGTCATGAGGGTGGCACCTGGAGGGTGGCACCTGGAGGGTGACGTCACGAGGGTGGCACCTGGAGGTAACGTCACGAGGGTGGCACCTCGAGGGTGGCACCTGGAGGGTGACGTCACGAGGGTGGCACCTGGAGGGTGACGTCACGAGGGTGGCACCTGGAGGGTGGCACCTGGAGGGTGGCACCTGGAGGGTGACATCTGGAGGGTGACGTCACGAGGGTGACGTCATGAGGGTGGCACCTGGAGGGTGACGTCACGAGGGTGGCACCTGGAGGTAACGTCACGAGGGTGGCACCTCGAGGGTGGCACCTGGAGGGTGACGTCACGAGGGTGGCACCTGGAGGGTGACGTCACGAGGGTGGCACCTGGAGGGTGGCACCTGGAGGGTGGCACCTGGAGGGTGGCACCTAGAGGTGACGTCACGAGGGTGGCACCTGGAGGGTGGCACCTGGAGGGTGGCGTCTCGAGGGTGGCACCTGGAGGGTGGCACCTGGAGGGTGGCACCTAGAGGTGACGTCACGAGGGTGGCACCTGGAGGGTGGCACCTGGAGGGTGGCACCTGGAGGGTGGCACCTGGAGGGTGGCACCTAGAGGTGACGTCACGAGGGTGGCACCTGGAGGGTGGCACCTGGAGGGTGGCACCTGGAGGGTGGCACCTGGAGGGTGGCACCTAGAGGTGACGTCACGAGGGTGGCACCTGGAGGGTGGCACCTGGAGGGTGGCACCTGGAGGGTGGCACCTGGAGGGTGGCACCTAGAGGTGACGTCACGAGGGTGGCACCTGGAGGGTGGCACCTGGAGGGTGGCACCTGGAGGGTGGCACCTAGAGGTGACGTCACGAGGGTGGCACCTGGAGGGTGGCACCTGGAGGGTGGCGTCTCGAGGGTGGCACCTGGAGGTGACGTCACGAGGGTGGCACCTGGAGGGTGACGTCACGATGGTGGCACCTGGAGGGTGGCACCTGGAGGGTGACGTCTCGAGGGTGGCGCCTGGAGGTGACGTCACGAGGGTGACGTCACGAGGGTGGCACCTGGAGGGTGGCACCTGGAGGGTGACGTCACGAGGGTGGCACCTGGAGGGTGGCACCTGGAGGGTGGCACCTGGAGGGTGACGTCTCGAGGGTGACGTCTCGAGGGTGGCACCTGGAGGTGACGTCACGAGGGTGACGTCACGAGGGTGGCGTCTCGAGGGTGACGTCTCGAGGGTGACGTCACGAGGGTGGCACCTGGAGGGTGACGTCACGAGGGTGGCATCTATTTAACTAAGCTGTGAAGCAATTTGTAGAAGCGACCTGACCATTAATGATGTCTCAACAAAGTGCCGTATCACGTGGAAATGTATAGCAGCCAAATACTCGAGCCGCGTGTTAATAATTGTTGAGGGAAGAACCAGAGGACCCAGACAGACATTCACACGACCACGGGGAGAAGATGCAAACTCCTAATAGTCCAGAGGTGGGACAAAGTCATTGTTATGCAAGTCCAAGTCGAGTCTGAAGTCATCAAATTCATGACTCGAGTCTGACTCGAGTCCAAGTCACATGACTCGAGTCCACACCTCAGAGGTGGGACAAAGTCATTGTTATGCAAGTCCAAGTCGAGTCTGAAGTCATCAAATTCATGACTCGAGTCTGACTCGAGTCCAAGTCACATGACTCGAGTCCACACCTCTGCCAAATACTATAGAGCAGGCGTCAGGGTCGCGATCAAACCCACGACGCCATCTATACCACGCGGAGTAGTTAACATGGGGGGGGGGGGGCTACGTGAGGGATTGGGGGGGGGGCTACGTGAGGGATTGGGGGGGGGGGCTACGTGAGGGATGGGGGGGGGGCTACGTGAGGGATTGGGGGGGGGCTACGTGAGGGATTGGGGGGGGGCTACGTGAGGGATTGGGGGGGGGGCTACGTGAGGGATGGGGGGGGGCTACGTGAGGGATGGGGGGGGCTACGTGAGGGATGGGGGGGGGCTACGTGAGGGATGGGGGGGGGGGGCTACGGGAGGGATGGGGGGGGGCTACGTGAGGGATGGGGGGGGGGGCTACGTGAGGGATGGGGGGGGGCTACGTGAGGGATTGAGGGGGGGGCTACGTGAGGGATTGGGGGGGGGGCTACGTGAGGGATGGGGGGGGCTACGTGAGGGATTGGGGGGGGGCTACGTGAGGAATTGAGGGGGGGCTACGTGAGGGATTGAGGGGGGGGTTACGTGAGGGATTGGGGGGGGGGCTACGTGAGGGATGGGGGGGGCTACGTGAGGGATGGGGGGGCTACGTGAGGGATTGGGGGGGGGCTACGTGAGGGATGGGGGGGGCTACGTGAGGGATGGGGGGGGGCTACGTGAGGGATGGGGGGGGGCTACGTGAGGGATGGGGGGGGCTACGTGAGGGATGGGGGGGGGCTACGTGAGGGATGGGGGGGGGGGCTACGTGAGGGATGGGGGGGGGCTACGTGAGGGATGGGGGGGGGCTACGTGAGGGATTGGGGGGGGGCTACGTGAGGGATGGGGGGGGGCTACGTGAGGGATGGGGGGGCTACGTGAGGGATGGGGGGGGCTACGTGAGGGATTGGGGGGGGGCTACGTGAGGGATGGGGGGGGCTACGTGAGGGATGGGGGGGGCTACGTGAGGGATGGGGGGGGGCTACGTGAGGGATGGGGGGGGGGTGCTGCCCCACGTGGCTGTGCGCTGCGCCGTCTCTCTGTGGTCTCTGACAAGTTGGATCCCAGCACCCGGTTCTCTTCACTGCTTGCCACGCTCCCCCGCTGTCGGCAATCATCCAGCCCCCGCTGTGCTTCAACCCGGCGTCCCCACGTGCCCTCAACATTGCCGCACTCTGCTGCTGATGCTGCTGCTGATGATGCTGCTGCTGATGGCTGCGGCGGCGGCGTGGCCATGCACCTGGGCGCGCTCACCCGATCTGCCCCCTGCGTGTGTGTGTGTCTGTGTGTGTGTTAGTGTGTCTGTGTGTGTTAGTGTGTCTGTGTGTGTGTCTGTGTGTGTGTGTGTCTGTGTGTGTGTGTTAGTGTGTCTGTGTGTGTTAGTGTGTCTGTGTGTCTGTGTGTGTTAGTGTGTCTGTGTGTCTGTGTGTGTGTTAGTGTGGCTGTGTGTGTGTCTGTGTGTGTGTGTGTCTGTGTGTGTGTGTGTTAGTGTGTCTGTGTGTGTTAGTGTGTCTGTGTGTCTGTGTGTGTTAGTGTGTCTGTGTGTGTGTTAGTGTGGCTGTGTGTGTTAGTGTGTCTGTGTGTGTTAGTGTGTCTGTGTGTCTGCGTGTATGTGTGTCTGTGTGTGTGTTAGTGTGTCTGTGTGTCTGCGTGTATGTGTGTGTGTTAGTGTGTCTGTGTGTGTTAGTGTGTCTGTGTGTGTTAGTGTGTCTGTGTGTCTGCGTGTATGTGTGTCTGTGTGTGTGTTAGTGTGTCTGTGTGTCTGCGTGTATGTGTGTGTGTTAGTGTGTCCGTGTGTGTTAGTGTGTGTGTACGTGTGTCTGTGTGTGTGCTCGCTAACAGCACTTGCCCCTACAGTATGTTAAGGCTATACGGGGATCTTTGTCTTTGTTGTGTGTGTGTGTCTGTGTGTGTGTTAGTGTGTGTGTGTGTCTGTGTGTGTGT